GTGCATTTCGATTCCGCTTAACGATTCTCACGTTCGCATTTTAATGTGATTTTAAACTATTTAAGTGCAGGAAGGGAAAGAACTTGCACACTGTTTGCATGCAGTGCACACATCTGAAGCGCGAGCACAGAGAACAGTGGTCCCAATGCAGGTTCCCGACCTGTGTCCGTTCTCGAACTGTTCCGTGCATTTCCACAAAGCTTGTATTGGGCCAGAACTGACTTCTCTTTCACATTTATCGACCAGTATGCACGAAATACGTCAGTATATCATCATAAACACAGCCGGGTTTTTTTGTCTTAAGTGGCCGTAAACAGATGAGAAAGAAAACGCATGTGTAACAGTATTTTTAGATCTGTGTGTGTTCGGTGTTAAAGAGACAGCCGTCTAATAAACGTGCTGCCTATCATTAATGTTAATCAAAGAACAAAAGAAAATAATTAACTGACTGAATATCTTTCGTAAATTTAATGATTAATCAATATTTAATTTATTAAAGGAAAACGTCTCAGGTTACTTATGTAACCATGGTTCCCTGAGTAGGGAACGAGACACTGCGTCCTCTAGGGGTCGCTATGGGAAACCTAGAGGACGCAGTTCGAAGTTCCCACGAAAGGGAACTATACAGTGTTTTTCAACTTTTGATTTCAATTTCTGTACCTGACATTTGTTCAGTTTTATTTATTTATGCTATTGCTAATTAATTTGTTTACTTCTCTTTAACAATTTAATGTTTGAAATTTATATTAGTCTAGTTGTTTTTTTCTGTGGTATTTTTTTGATAAAACCATAGACATAAAACAGAATAAATATGTTTGGCATCTAAATATTTGACTTAAAATTTGTTTAATGGATTTTTTTATCTTATTGGAATCGGAATTAGGAATCGGAATCGATAAAATTCAAACGATACCCAACCCTACTTATTTGTCACTGATGGTCGCTGCCCCTTCATTAAACAACACATTTGATCTATCCTTTGTACAGGAGTGTATTAAAATAGCAATTTGCATCTGTAATTGTGTCTTTCTCTCTGTCAGCCTTGTCTGCAGTACTGGCCTGAAACAGGCATGCAGCAGTTTGGACCCATGACAGTCGAGCTGCTCTCCAGATCCACTGATGACAACGTCGTCACTCGCCTATTCAGAGTGACCAACATCACACGCGTGAGTCTATAGGGCCAAATAAGCCATCTTCTGATATATGTTATCCCCTGTATGTGCCTTCCAATCACGAGCCGTTCTCTCCCAGTGTTAGCACTGACATTTATTACAGTACCTCATTAAAATCAGACCTCATTAGACAAATTACCCATCTTCCACGTCCATCTTTTTTTTTTTAAACTGGAGATTCAGGAACACTCCGGGAAAGGTTAATTAACTGAAGCTAATGGCTAAATGATCTTTTCAGAGTCTTTTAGAAATCGAATTCAATACCGATTAAATTAAAGCAAAGGTATAAAAGTGTGGTCAGTCATTAAAAGTCTCAATTTCACAAACTAACGCTGGAGGCACTGCACTTCTGGAATTAGACCTGCTTATTTCACACTTTACGTGCGTGTGTGAGAGAGATAGAGTTGTATGTATTGTGTCAGTATCTCTCAGTGTGGTCTGTGCTTCTGATATCGACTTGTCTGAATAAAAAGGCACTTTCTCACACCTCTAGCTGACTTTAGCCCTCCCTGATGGCTTCATTGTCAACATCTTGTCTCTTTGAAATCTTGTCCCAAGTGTTGCACCTCTCATTGCTAGCCCCCTTTAGCACTCCTTTCAGACAGGCTGTCAACCTTTAGCCGCATTCCCATCCGTGTCTGTGTCAGTTTGGCTAGCCCCCTGTCAGTCCCCTCTGTCTCTCAGAGACTCTGCAAGCCGGGTAAACACTCCATGATATTGTCAGAAAATGTCCCGTACTGCCTCTTCACAGGACCCCAGAGAGAGCCACCCGTGTTGGAACGATGAGTCTCGCTTCTCCAAAAAGGTACAAGGTGTAGAGTGTTGCTAAATAGCGCCATCCCTAGTTAAAGAAAAACAGACAGCCCCATGACAGAACAATGCTTTTACGATTTGTTACAGAGTAATTTAGATGCTAATTAATGCTCAGAGGATCCAGTCGATGACTTGCAGATGAGCTGAATAGCGTGTGCTGTTTTTGAAATGAGTGTTTGAAGTACAGTAGATATTCCAGGAATAGGATGCAAAACAGAGCATGAGACATTTAGTGAAAGGACATGCTTCAGCTTCAGATTGAAAAAACCACGCATGTGGTGACATTTCTGTGAAATTATATTACAATACTTCTTGCACATTCTGTGACACTTTCGAAGTGAAATATCCTGCTAAAAGTGCGTTCAGTTTGATCCAAAACAGATCAAAGTGAATCTGTAAATTATAAAATGAAATGTGCGTTGTGTGTGTACCCAATTGCAATGCTCTACCAGGTGAGCTACCAAGCAAGTTTACTATGTTAGTAAAGCCATACATATGGAGTTCTTAATGTGCAAACATCAAAACCTATTAGGGACCCACTTTATATTAAGTGTCCTTAACTACTTATGTACTTACATATTATGTATTTACATAAATTAATCATTTCAAACCTTTTTTTATATATTGTACTTGTATTTAGTTGTATTGGGGATGCATTGTATGGTAGATTGTATTTTGGAGTTTTGAAAAACTGTAGGTAAATGTTTGTTTTTTGCAGTGATCCAGTGTTGTTCAGATAATGTTGTTTCAGGAGGTCAAACTAAATATTTCATGTGAGCTGTTTTAGTTTACTTATTTTTATTTTTTTGTGAGATTTGCCATTTCTGCAACACTGTTACCTGGCACTACATGTGTGGGACTAGCCTTGACGAAGAAAAAAAAAACAAAAAACACTTGCACCAGAATGTGTAAGAGGGTTTTGAATTGCAGGGTTGCGTATTTAGCCTAAATTAAAATGATGGGTAGATTTTTAGCACTTGATAATTTGGTTAAAAAGTTTAAGTGGCTGAGTTTGACATTAACGTTTAAAAATACATTTAAACAATGTCTAAAATTTGTGGGGGAAAAAATATATATGATTATATCGATTATTTCCTATCATGCTGTAGAAAGGGTTAAAATTAACTTATTTGCTTAGCATGTTTTTGTCATTGCAAATAGTTAATTAAAAACATTATGTCTTGTCCGTTGAAAATACCCGCAGAATTCTTTGGCCTGCTGTTGTGCGTCTCTTTTATTAATGTTTTCTCTCTGTCTTTATCATTCAGCTGCAGGAAGGTCATCTGGTAGTGCGACATTTCCAGTTCTTGCGCTGGTCGGCTTATCGTGAAATCCCAGACTCTAAGAAGGCCTTTCTCAACCTGCTGGCACAAGTGCAGAAGTGGCTGAGGGAGTGCGGCGACGGTCGCACTGTAGTGCACTGCCTGTAAGTTTCACACGGCTCCGCTTCCAAATACTAATTGGAGAGCAATTACACTTCATTGTGTTTATTGTACAATCCAGGTCACTTTTGCTCCTGCACTCCAGCAATTGCAGTGGCCACCCAACTGTGAAAATCTGCTTAAAGCTCTTAATCTCCGGCTGCTTTTTCATGTCTTCATTTTCCTCAGTATTTGACTTCTTAGTGCTCTGGCCTCGGGATTCGTACCTGCCACCTGCACTTGCCTGTGGTTTAATATGTCTATCCTTTATTAATGAGAGCGTGGTACAGATGCAGCGTATCGGGCTTCAAAGCATCTTTGCTGGGGTGCCCTTCCTTTATCAGTAGCCCAGGGGAAATGATCTTAACTCAGTAGAATGTGACATTTTTATTGCATGTCTTTTCCCCAGAGCGCACTGGTACTTTCCATTCCTTCATGCTCAAAAGTATTGCAGATGTCTGGCAGCCTGTGGTGGCACAAATATGCCTCTTTCACAGCTATCCCCTCCAGACATCTCTAATACAATAATCCACACAAGCTTTGAAAGTGTGCTGCTCAGATCCCGCTCCTTCATGTGTTACAAGATGCTGCTTTTCTTGAAGATGCTAATGAATTGACGTATTGTTGTCTTTAAGGAATGGCGGCGGACGCAGCGGCACTTTCTGCGCTTGCACCATGATAATGGAGATGGTGCACCATCACAACATGGTGGACGTGTTCTACGCTGTCAAGACTCTCCGCAACTCCAAGCCCAACATGGTGGAGTCTATGGTTAGTGTGCAAGAACTAATTAGTGGTGTTTGCTTAGGTGTTTGCTTGTGACCCATTAAATATAACTATAAAAATAATAATAGTGATAATAATATTATTGCACTTTATTTATTTTTTTAATAAAATAATAAACACAATTATAAAGTGTGATGATGCTATTATAATTTAAAATAAAAAGGGAGCTTTAAATAAAAATACAATTATTTTATAGCAAACTTAAAAATAAAATGATAATATTTATATGAATTTTCATATTTTTCAAACTTAAAATCAGCAAGCTTTTATTTTGCCGTATTGCCAATTATATATATAAACAGTGAAGAAAATTCTAGTTCTAATTCCAGTTGGGAAGTAAACACTTTGAACTATTTGCAAATAATATTTTAAAATATGCACACATTCACTCTTATTTGTATGCCCAATATGGCGAAAAGGCAAAACATTTATTGTCTCGTCACATTCACTTCCCAGTGAGCAATTGATGTTGAAAAGACGTCAGTTTGATGTCAAAAAACGACAAAAAAAAAACAAGTCAAATATCCAAATCAAAGTAGGGTCAAAAACTTGACATGATGTTGATTTGATGTAAATTGAGCGTCAAACATTTTGGCCTACATAAACATTAAACCAGTTTCAGTGTGGGATTCATTTCCTATTTTCGCCCAATCACCACTGGAAGAAATTGCTAACAAAACTTTGATCAAGTCACATTGATCAAGTCTCGACATTTGACGTCAAATTGATGTCAAGGTGCCCGCTGGGTTTAAAGCTACGGAGCCCGCATATGACATGGAAAAAAAAAAAAACATGGGCATGATTTATTAATTCGTTCCCTCATTTTAAGTAAATTGTGCGCTCGATATAACAATTCGTGCCCTCGTTCTAGGTAAATCGTGCGCACAAAATAATAATTAGTTGTACTTCCTGTCCGCGTATGCATTCTCATAAACATGTTGCTGCTATATGTGGTCACGTTATGTTATGTTATGGACAGAGACACTTTAATTGGGTTTTATTTTGAGTTGGGAATGAGTTATAAAGACATTCTCAAAAGCCTTGCAGCGTTGCATGGAATTATTTTAAGTCAGAGGAATCTACATCGCGTACTAAGAATTGGAGGGCATGAATTATTGTATCGAGCGCAGGATTTACTTAAAACGAGGGAACGAATTAGCCTATTAAATCGTGCTCACGATCTAGTAAATCGAGGGAACGAATTAAGAAATCGTACCCACAATTTATTTTTATAAATTTTTTTCTTGCATGTCATGTGCCGGGCTCCGTATAAAATGGCGAAATTTGCGAAAGTTTTCTGCGAAAGTAGTTTGCATTACTAGATATTACCGTCAGTCGTTTAACATGTCTATCATAAAACAGTTGTCAAATATTAAATGTTTAGCTACTTCTACCTTGCTCGCTTTCGACGCTTCATGCTGGAATTTGTGCTCTGCTTCTGTGAACATCAAACCCCTCTTACTTGAATTCGATTGGTTATCTCAATCATTTTGACATTGATCGAGCGCTGTTAGACCCCTGAGGCAGAGCAGACAAAAAAATTTAACTTTTTTGGGGGGTCAGTTTGGCCATGTCTAATTATTGAACGGGACTTGTCTTCCTCAATGTCTATAATGGTTACGACCTGCTATTGCCCGTACATACAGACTAAACCCCTAACCAATATATATATATATATATATATATATACATATATATATATATCACACTTTGGTGTACAAATTGTGCCAAATCATTTGTGGTGCTTTTACTTGACTTTGCAAAAGATGATAAAATTGGCAAAACAATCCCACTGACTAAAGGCCAAATATTACTACATTTTTGTTCTGACAGTGATTTGATTATAATCTTTACAGCCTTTACCTGTACGATGCAGAGTGAAATCTAAAATTGGGAAATTATTTTATCCAAAATGATTTGATTATTTGGTATTACGATTCATAATTATTTTTAAAAAAATATGCTGAAGAGACGTAAATGAACTGGAGAGACAATTTGTACTACAGGCAAATATTGACACTGTCTTTATAATTGAATTATGAATAATAAGTTGTTAATATACATGATTTATTAAAAAAAAAATAGAGGATAGTATCATGTCTAAAGCAAACTAGCATAAACATTGTTATGAACCAATACAAAAATATATTTCTACTCAGTCTTTCTACTTCAAAGTTTCACATTTTAACATTTCTTTCAATCTGTTACTATGTGTTTGTGAAACGTACTGGTAATTTCCGAGTGAATTTCTGCATTTCTAATTTAGTATTACATTTCTAAATATATTCTCCAAATATCCCCACATACTCATATGCTGCTCAAATGGATGCGTGCAATTATGAATAATGATGCAGAAACCTGAACTCATCAGCATGAACTTTTGTCATTTATGTAAATAGTGCCTTTGCTTCCTCAGTCTCTCCTGTTCTGTATCTGTTGTGAGAATGGATCTGAGACAGACATTGAGAATGTGTATAATATTTAATTACGTAATCCGATTTTTATTATCAGATGAACGATCTGCAGGCCAATATGACTCGCATTTCCTTCGAATGTAAAACTCTGCCAGTGCTGAATGTTGACAGAGAAACTGACATGACCTTGCTGTTGTTGGCAGGAGCAGTACAGATTCTGCTATGAGCTGGCTCTGGAGTACCTGGACTGCCTGGAGGTCAGATAACACAAGAGCTCGAGACCCGATCAACACCGGCTTCAACCTCTTCACCTCGCCTCCTCTGTTTCCTTCGGCTTGGGCCAGTCCAGCCCATATGAATGAGCCTTTCTGTCCTCCAGTGAGAATGCACATCTTCATCAAGAGTGGGAATGCAAGACTCGGCACATTTCTCTAACCTTCAACCTCTATTGTCCTCCGTGCACTTTCTGTTTTGACGTTTTCGACCTCCTGTGCCAGATATTCCTGCCAAACCCATGAGGGAATCGATGAGATTTCAACAGTTTTGAGATTATGACATACACCATGACTGGCTCTCTGCCTTATACACCAAGCAGGAGGAAAACACACAGGATTTTAACGAAACCATGTGATGACATGGGTGATATTGTGTTTGTACATCACGTGTATTGTTAAACTCTGTACATTGGGGCGATCTACTGTGCTGATGCACCCGCTTTTACTGGAAAGCATTCCTTGACTGTAAGGATGTGATGGAGCTTTTCTTTTCATTGAATTCCTTAAAGGTGATGTGTATCATTTTTTTACATTAATCTCCTTTCCCAGCTTAATGTGCAGAGACCATAAGTGAGCCATTGATTCTCATCAAAAGCGTAACACTGTGGCGCTATCAAAACATTGACTCAACCAATGGTGTGAGTTAGGGGCGGGACTACCTTTTTGGCTGACCAGTGAGAAATGTTCAGGTTCAGATACCCACGCCACCATGCTGAGGGGAGTGCATGCCAGAACCATGGTGAGCACTAAGTACCAACTCTACCATATTGCTATGGATGTTGCTCATGGGACGTTAGACGGCTGTCAGTCACGTTATTCCCTACGGCCAAAGGCCTAGACAACAGTTCAGGACTGTTGTTTGAAAATGGTGAATTTTTCTTGCAAATGTTTGGTGATGCTAGAGGTGCAAAAATGGCACACTTCACCTTTAAAACTGAAAGTGACACTCGAAAGTGTCAGTATTTTGACAGGCAAGTCAAACGGATAGATACAAAGAGGGTTTCTGGGTTTATTTCTTGTTTTCTTTGTGTGTGTATATATAATATATATTTTGCAAAAGAAACAAACAAACAAAAATGTTTCTAGATGTTGTCTTTAATGTGCCAACACATTTTTGTATGAGTGTGTGGGGTCGTGAAGAGGATCACTCATGGATCTGCATGCCTGTTTCATGTTTCATTGCAATCCATTGTGACCCGTCTGCTTTGGGTGCTGCTGCCCGCTGTCATTGAGTGCAGTAAAACAAACAAAAAAAAGATATACGCAACTATATAAAAGAAACAGAAATGCTACTATTGGAATACGGTGAGGCACTCGCCATAAAGTTGCTTTTTATCTTTGTATTTATTGGTTGTTTTGTTTTCTAAAAAAAAAAAATTAACACACAATAAAAACATTCCGATGTTGCTTTTATCTCTTTGTCATTATTGTTGTTAATCACATTTGTTTTTCCTAATTGAAACACCCATAGGAAATTAAATAATAATAATAGCAATAATTATAATACATAAATAATCTATAATAGCTTAATTGTTTCACATAGGCAGCAAAGAGTTTAAAAGGAGAAACATTTATTGACGTCAGTGATGTTGTATATATATATATATATATATATATATATATATTTGTTTTGTTTTTTTGATGCAGAAGAAAAGCATACTTTGTACTCACTGCAAACAATTACTTTTCTTTTTCCTAAAATCACACCGAGTTTCCATAGAGACACCCATAAGACAAAAATATGATATTTAAATGAAACATTACTGTGATCTACATTAAGTCTTCTGATCCATGAAAGAGCAACATCTAAGTAATAACATCACATCTTCGGGTAGCAGAGTAACTGAACAACAAAAGAGTAAATTACAGCAATTATTACTCGGCCCTCCTGGTCTGTTTTCTTTTCATTATAACAATGAATAACACAAACGCACACCTGTTTAAGGGGCAAACTAAATAAAGACAAAACATAACTGCACACTCAATCATCATTTATTAGTTACCAACGTTTCGGCAAAACAAATAGCCTTTGTCAAGGTATGATTTCTTATCAAGTGGTGAACAATATAAATCGGGAAAATAATCATGCACAGGTGAAGATAATGACATCCGGGTCACTCATAATTAGTAAAGAATTCAACTAATTATTATTTAGTAACAAGTTCCACAGAAATTCCGTCTTCAAAGTGTTGCCTGAATTGTTCTTTTTTAGCTGGCTCAACCTTTACTGAAATAGTTTTACAGTCCATTCAACTGAAATTATTTAATTGGTCAAACATTTAGAAAACTACAGCAAATTGTGTCAATTAAAATGTAACCATTCACTCCATGTGTTTCATATGTTACCTCAACTAAGATTTATTATTTGGGAATCATAAGAAATTGCTGTGGAACTAGTTATTATATTTTATATTTAGTTTAAGAAAAGTATTACCTGGTGTCTATCAATCACTAAAACACACACATTGCAATACATAATAGTCTTTATTTAATAATAATCTGCATTTATAACATTTGTCATACAGGCTAAACATGCAGGCTTAAAGGGATAGTTCACCCAAAAATTTAAATTTGCTATTAATTGACTCACTCTTAAGTCATCCAAGATGTAGTAAACTGCATGTCTATGACTGCCGGCTTTTGAGAGTCAAATAAACTTATAAAGACAAGACCAAATTACCAAACGCTCCTGAGGACACATTGAGGCCTTAAGAAGCTAAACAATCAAAAACCAGCAGCCACAGACGTGCAGTGTGTGAATCGCCAAGGATCACCGTTTCAGATAAAAATCATCTACACTCTTAAAAATAAAGGTGCTTCACGATGCCATAGAAGAACCTTTTTGTCTGAATGGTTCCATAAAGAACCTTTAACATCTGAAGAACCTTTCTGTTTCACAAAAGGTAAGATTATAAAAAGGTAAGAAAGAGATGGTTCTTTAAAGAACCTTTGACTGAATGGTTCTTTGTGGAACCAAAAATGGTTCTTCTATGGCAACGCTTGAAGAACCTTTTGAAGCACCTTTATTTTTAAGAGTGTACTGAAGAAAAAAAGTCACTGACATCTGGGATGGCCTGAGGGTCAATAAAATAACAGCACATTTCCATTTTTGGGTGAACCATCCCTTTCAAGTGCTCCAGTTGTCAAACATTACATTTGTAATAACAACTACAAAATGTATTTTAAACATTTGTTTAATGAACTTAAAAAAGACTAAAGTTTATTTATTTAGTCATTTAGTCATTTAGCAGACGCATTTATCCAAAGCGATAAATAAATGCAAATGACAAGTCTCGGTTAGCCTAACACAGTACACGTAGCAAGGTGTGTATATATATATATATATATATATATATATATATATATATGTATATATATATATATATATACGCACACACACACACATACATATATTAGACACACACACACAAAGAAAACAAGTTGATAGAATATTAAAAACTTTAAACATTTTGTTTAAAGTTAAACAATGTTTGCAAACAAACATTTACAAATATTACTACTGTTCACAATTATATCTTTAAAATGAGGCAGAAGACAGAAAAAATAAATGAACCAGGTGCTACAGTTCAACTGAACTGAGTCAAGTAAAATCCAGTCACTGTATTTACACTACAGATGTCAAAGCAGCTTTACAGTATTAAACAGAAAAATCGTGTGTCGAAGGAACAAAAATTCCAGACGAATCCAGCAGTTTAATTGCAAGCTGCAACACAGGTCAGATTGTGCAGAGGACTCATCTGGTTCCTGTGGTCTTGTCCCGATGCCCGTCTAGGTGACGAGGTCTTCAGAGGGGATCTGTCTCTGCATGTGGGGCTCATCTAGTTGTCCTGGTCTCCGCTGACATTCCAGGGCTGTCGAGGGCATCTCTGGGTGCTGATCCACCATCTGCTCTGGATACAGACTGGATCTGGTGGCTACAGTGACCTCGGAATAAGAATGAGACAGTCTAATATTAGCGTAGATGCCACTGAGAACAATTAAGCACATTTTAATTGTAGTAAACACTCTAAACTTTTACACATATTACCTTAAGTCTTAGTTTTGATAGTACACACACACACACTATGTAGTTGCAGTGGCGCTGTCTGGTCACATGGCAGCGTTTGGAGCCTTGGAAGAAGTGACTGGCCAGCATCTGAAAACTTGCAATGATGAGAAACCACCAATGAAACCTTTGGCCACACTCTGATGGAGAAATAAAGTACAATTTATCTCAAGAAATTAAATCATGCCTTTTAAATAATTTAAAATGTAATACCAGTTAATTAAAATTTGTGATGAAACAGAAGTTGCAACCATTTTTTTTGGCACACAAAAAATCTCAATCCATCGCACAACACTTAATTGCAAGCTGCAACACAGGTCAGATTGTGCAGAGGACTCATCTGGTTCCTGTGGTCTTGTCCCGATGCCCGTCTAGGTGACGAGGTCTTCAGAGGGGATCTGTCTCTGCATGTGGGGCTCATCTAGTTGTCCTGGTCTCCGCTGACATTCCAGGGCTGTCGAGGGCATCTCTGGGTGCTGATCCACCATCTGCTCTGGATACAGACTGGATCTGGTGGCTACAGTGACCTCGGAATAAGAATGAGACAGTCTAATATTAGCGTAGATGCCACTGAGAACAATAAAGCACATTTTAATTGTAGTAAACACTCTAAACTTTTACACATATTACCTTAAGTCTTAGTTTTGATAGTACACACACACACACTATGTAGTTGCAGTGGCGCTGTCTGGTCACATGGCAGCGTTTGGAGCCTTGGAAGAAGTGACTGGCCAGCATCTGAAAACTTGCAATGATGAGAAACCACCAATGAAACCTTTGGCCACACTCTGATGGAGAAATAAAGTACAATTTATCTCAAGAAATTAAATCATGCCTTTTAAATAATTTAAAATGTAATACCAGTTAATTAAAATTTGTGATGAAACAGAAGTTGCAACCATTTTTTTTGGCACACAAAAAATCTCAATCCATCGCACAACACAGGAAGCATTGATGTTGATTGTTCATGAGTTGCAACGATTTGAAACAGAACATGCACATTTCATATTATAAGTCTACCTTAAACAGCATTAAAATAATATCAATATATGACTGCCTGTTGTTGATAAATACCAGTGGTGAAATTTTACAAATTGATTGATCAATTGTCCCAATGTTTACTAAGCCATAGTCTTTTTACCAGTGCAGGGACTCGTGTGCACAATCTAGTGATTCACTACCTAGGGAACTGACTGAGACGCAGTCTGCTTTGATAACAGCCTTGTGAAAGGATTCCGTTGTTTATTACAGGGGCCGAGAGACCTCAACTCGATGCAACTTCAGAAAACACATGCAAATAGAAAAAGCACCAGCAAATCAAGAACCCATCTTCATCAGTTTGACAGCAGGTGCTGGTGCTTTCTTTGTTTGGTTGTGTTGTGAGCATTTGCTTGGTTGTTAGTCACGTTTAATGTCGACTTTTAATTTCAAGGGACAATTGCAGAAGTTTGCACACGGAAAAACCCATTCAACACGCCCATGTTAACTTCAAATAAGCGTATTCCTGTGGTTTACATTACACGTTTCGTCGTAGTAAGCATTGGCTTATAAAAGAGAGAGACCGCGCGATCTCTTCATATCATTTAATGTCACGGAAACACAAAAATATCATACAACCCGCCAAAATGAAACCTAAAATTAATTATAGTAACACAGCTTTTGACATTAAGTGTTTTATG